CGTCAGCAAACATGAAAATCCGCCATGTTTTTCCGGACACTCGTTTGACTGAAGGATAGATAGGAGCACGTCCTCCAGTAATATTATAGCTCAGTGGATTATCCCAGAGCCTTCGTTTCCTTCCCAAGGATCGCAGGCTCGGGGAACGAGATTGGAGGACTACGTCACTTTACTTCCTGTTTAATTACGCGGTCACTTAGCAACGTCGTGGTTGTTGTTGCTATGGTTTCCGCATCTTGGTAAAGTAACAAATTACATGAGCGTGCTTTAAAAGCTCGCAGCTTGTTTTGGATCACAGATCGCCAAGAATTCCGCAGAAAAAACAACTCTTGGTACATTTGAAAGAATATAGGAATAAATATGGAAGAAAAACAAGAAAAAACTATTCAAATCGCCGCGAGGGAACGAGGTTTGTATGAGGTTTTTGACAATACGAATGAAGCAAATCGCGTCGACTTGAGGCCATGGCCTTCAGAATATAAATGTTTTTTTTGCATTAAAAAAAAGTTCGCAAAGTCTTTAGTCAATTTACTAAAACATTTGCTAATATCCAGTGATTATTTTATAAGATAATGAAGTCAATTTTAAAAGATACCTTGCCCCGGAACGTTCGATATATTAAAATGTGATTATTTCGCGTACGGCGTACTAATAATACTTGAATTTAGGATTTTTGAAATACATACATTCTGTCCAGTGTTTAACAGTTCTATGCCTTGCCAAAGGTTTTTTAACGTAGTTTATATGGATTGTGCGAAGGAATTCTATTTCATCCTACTGGGTAAACGTTTGGATAAGTTAGACAATGAACACAGCATGTATACGCGGATAATACGCCTTGTCTATAACATTGGCTGCTTAAACAAAACTGCATAAACAAAATATGTAAATTTTAAACTCTAAAAAAACTGAATCTGGCAAATTCTGAAATTCAAACTGTAATGTAAAATACGTTCTCCAGTATTTTAACAGCTATGAATACTGCTTATCTTTTTTGATGGATACAATTATCCCAAAACATTTGGCCATGCCACCGGACGTTGCTACGAAACGGTTGAGATGCAAACACAACTCAATGTGAAATGGCAGGTGTTTAGTTGCATAGTATAATGAGTATTAAATATTTATGTTGTATTATTTTATTTATTTAAGGTCCGGGTCCCGGACGATACGGATTACCGTCTACTTGTGGCTACATCAGTCACGATGGCACGAAGTACAAAGCGCCTGCTTATTCTATGGGAACAAGACTGCAAAATTCAAGTAAGTACAAAATTTGTTTTTTAACTTAAAATGCCATTATTAATGCTAGATAGGTGACAAAATTCGGAACGGAAGAGTTACTATTTTTAGACTTTTGTAATTTTGTATTCTTTTGTATTTTAAACTTACTGTAATCCTAAATAGAACCCTTACTCTAACTATAACCTTCAGTCCTACCCCTTTCCCTAATCCAAACCCTCTAAGTAAAAAAAAATAGTAACTGTTCCTAAATCGTGACTAACGATATCAGACAAGCAACATGTACTACCCACCCTAACAGGGCCCTGGTCCTGTATCATTGGCTAATTAATGCACCTGCAATTCTATGGCACAAAGTTTGTAGCCAGCTCAGCCTTTTACAATGTCACTAACATTTATTGTTGCCCTAATTGTTTCAGTGTTTCGTAAAGACTGCAGTCCTGGTCCAGGGTATTTCATTGAAGCCTCAATAACCCGAGGTGGAAAGGATGGCACTCCGGTGTACTCTATCTTGGGCAGGCAGAAAGATCCTAGTAAGTATTTTTGGGCTGTGACTACTCATAGTAAATTGCAACCAGTGGCTGGTTACTGCATACATATAGAGAGTACAAAGTTACAAAGCCGGCTGGCCCAGTTAACCGATGATTGTTTTAATATTAAGCTCTTTGGCCATCAAGTCGTATTGTGCCCTACTTTATTACTTTACTCTGTCTAATGCCAGACAATTTTACTGGTCAATTAGGGGAGAGTGCTGGTGCTTAATGGGTTAACTGGCCTAATCTGCCCATGTGTCTATAGTTAACCCATTGACTGAAGTTGCATTGCATCCTGTGATGCGCTATACTTTATGATTTTACTTGTCAAGGGGAGAGTGCTGGCACTCAATGAAATAACATTAGTGCTAGTAATGTATATACCAACAGCTGTAGTACATTTTTTCACCTGCGTTGTAACTGTACTCTAGATACATTCAAGACACCAGGACCAGGAACGTACTGTCCTGAACGAGTTCACCCCCAAGGAGAAAGACATGCGCCTGTGTACTCAATGGGATCAAGGACAAGATATCGTAAACGTAAGTAAAAATTTGCCCAGCTAAATTTGTACAAGGTCTTGGCAGTGTTCACAGTAGTTAGTGCATGTGATATTCCCCTCTGTCACCGACTCACCTGAGGATTTTATTCCTACAGTATGCAATTGTTTGATAAATTTGCATTAGTCATAGCTGAAATAAGTGGGCGATTGGCCTCCCAAAAGTCGGACATGCCAGGCACATTAATTTTGCCCTGAAAATTCACCCACTTTTTTGTGGATTTATTATGTAAATAATATTTTACTTCATGATCACAGATTACAATAATAAAATCCACACCATTGCTTTTTTGCTTCACTTTTTGACTCACAGAAGATTGGAGCACTCTCTCTCTCAAGTTATTGTGATAGATATAGCTCAGTGGCTATACCCATTTAGACTGGAATTTTTTTCGTGACATGCCAATTAAATTCAAGTTCTTTCCATTTTGCACTTTTGGCAAAACTTGCCGTCCAACATCCCCCCCCCCCCCCCCGGTAAAATTCCTTAAAAAGGCACTGGGGCTATCCAGTATAAGGGGAAAGTTAGTCGAGTTATTAGCTGATTCATTACAATAATTTTCAACTCTCCTTGTTACAGGCGACAGCACTCCAGCACCAAATGCATATGGTCTACCACCAGTTCTCGGTAGCAAGGTTATCAACAAGTCATCCGCAGCATCGTACTCCATGACTGCCCGATCAAAAACCGGCGGCTTTTCCGAGGACCTTGCAAAGACACCAGGGCCTGGACACTACAAGGTTACGCCACCAGACACAGTGAAGCAAAATGCTCCCAAGTACTCCATGTTATCAAGAAATCACATGCCTGGAGGTAGGTTGTAGACCCTGTAGCTAAACATGTAGTATGGGGGGGGGGTGAATAGGGGTATACAAATCCACTGATTCGCCAAAATTTGAAGCAAAATCCGCGATCCGACAATGGTCTTGTCTAAATTTGAATCCGCTAAAAGCTCTACTGTGAAGTCACAATCCAGGATCCAAACTAAATTGCAAGCTAAATCCACAATCCGAGCCAAAATATTAGATAAATCTGCAACCCGCTGTATTATTAATATCTTTAAATCTGTGTAAAATATTCGCCAGATCCGAACAATTTTTTCTGTGAAATCCGATGATCAGAAAACCTATTCACCCCCCCCCCCCATGTAGACCTATACGCTTGACTTTCCATTTTTCAAGACTTGAAAGTACTAAAATTTCTAAAAACTTTTTCACTTACTTTTTTTACAGATTCAACACTGAAACCTGGTCCTGGAGCACACAGCCCAGAGAAGGTATACACAACAAAGCCAAAGGCACCATCGTTCTCTATGGGAATCCGACATTCAGAATTTATATGCCCATTAATCATTGATGTTCAAGACTAACCATGTAGAACTACTATATACAGCTTAATACTTAGGAATACTGCAGGAATTACCTGGAGTGTATAATGAAAAATGTGAACCCCCATTTTTTTTTACAAAAAATATGGGAGAAACCTAGGAGGTTAAAACAGGGATGTAAAGTAAAGGTTTATGATAAAAATTAACTTTTTATAGTATATACAATAAATTTTATTTGTACAATATTAGCGTGCGGTGAATTTGCGCAGTAATTTTAATGTTACAAAAGAAAAATTATGTTCTGTTTCTATGCTTGAACTAAAACAATTTCATTTCTAGTATTGTAGGCTTCGATACATACTTAAATATTGACAGTATTTGACCAAGGCATTTTCGTTCGCGTGATGCAGATGTAACATTTAAGTCACTCTGTTGTGGTGTATGGTCGTATATGGTATGGTATAGCAGCATCGATGTCCACGGACCATTGTCGCAATCCTTAAACATTTCTTCAACTCCATATTCCCGTATTATATACAAGCAGAACTGATTTTTGTCTTCGTGTGACTGAAACTACTATAATTAGTGAGCAACAATTTTTTCCCTTCAGCCCCGTACTGTACATTTATATATCATACCCCTACGTTCAATTTTTCTGATACCACAAATCGACTTAACGCGTAAAAATCTCACATCTTGTAGCAAGTCTGCCAACAAGCCGCCAACAAGTTGTGTTCGCACTGCTTGTCCCAAGTTGTCAACAAGTTTGGAACAAGCTGTTAACAATTTGTAACAACCTCGATATTATCAGGCTTGTTACAACGTTGTTCCAACAAGTCCGATACAGTTATGATATAACAGTATTAATTGTTACAACCTTGTGTCGTCAAGCCTTGTAACATTCTTGTTTATCATGACTGTATCAGACTTGTTAGAACAACCTTGTAAGTTGTAACAAGTCTGATAATGCCATCAAGCTTGTTCCAAGTTGTTAACAGCTTGTTCCAACAACTGGGAGCAAGCAGTGCGAAGACAACTTGTCGACAGCTTGTGAACAGATATGTAACAACTTGTTGTAACAAGTTGTGCGTTTTTACGTTTGTAGCATTCCGACCCAATAACATGCATCAGCTCTTCACGAGCCATTATATTGACTAGTGCAACATCTGCTGTTCAACATAGCCACACATGGTACTTTTAACCACGATGTAAGGTAGCCAGCCCAATCCAATGACATAAACAGTTCTTTATGAAGCAAGATACTCAGCCCAGCATAATTATCGCGACATAGACACGTCCCAGTTCTATCTTCGATAACGATATCGCTTGAAATGAAACCAAAGTTGAAAAACGCCATTATGAAATTGTGATCTGAAGCCATGTTTATGTGAATATTCCCATTCACGGTTCACAACCTTGAACGCGATGTCCTGAAAACAACAAAATATTTAATATATTTAACTCACATGATTACCGGTGGTCTGCGCTTTACAGAATAAGACCCCGTTTACACGGAACCGGACGAATTTGAGACCCCTAACAGGACGAATTCGCGTGTAAACAGGCGAAGGACGAATTTCAGACCGGTCTCAAATTCGTCCGGTAAACGCGGCGTCTAAACTCTAAGACTAGAAGTCTTCGGGGCATGAATTTTTTTTCAGCCTATTTGTCTCTGCAGGATTTTTTTTACGTTCAACATTTTCAAATTTGTGCAAGCCTCTACTATCGCAGTATAGGCCTCTACTTTAATAATCCCAGCGACTAAACGCTAGATCAGAAACTCATACGTCATAAAACTGAACATCCTGTACTGTACATCTTTTTTCTGTCGACTATATATGGTTCGGCAAAGGAGACTGGCGCGAGTTTCATAGATGTCAAAAATAGTGTGCTGCCCACTGAGCTCTACTATATATATCTGGAGACCGTGCTCCCATATCTCGTCAAACAAAAAAGTGTCCGCAAAAACATGGCGGATTTCGAGCTCCGCGTCCACTATTTTCGGGCGATTTACCACTGACCACATAATATTTTTGAAAGCCACCTGTTTTCGCACCCCCCTGGATGCAAAAAGTATACACTGTGTAATTATCAAACTATCAAGTTTCACAACTTTATATTTTGTCAACATGCCGCGTTAATATTGCTCGGTTTATGGTTGTCACAACTTCTTTGACAAAGACGGATTGTATTCACACTGTCACTGGTAAGGAAATATTATTTTGTGCTTAGATATTATTCGAGAAGTTTTTTCTGTAGTTTATGTTTTGTTCACGTGCATGTGTCACGTACCAGCTATGGTACGACTATGGCTTCTTTTCTGAGGTTTTTGCATGCAGTTTGTTTCATTCAAATATTATATTTCCATTGTTCCTTGTGATGTTCTCGTGTGCGTTTTTCCTACCTACTGTACAGTGTATTTTATAGGCCTGTTTGTATTTATGAAAGCATATTGTTATTGAATTTTTTCCCTTCACATATTTACGTATTCCTGATGCAAAGAAGCATCCAGAGTTGTACAGCATATGGGTTGAGTATATGAATAAACATGCGACAGTGAAGTCTGTTCCTGCGAAAAGTAGTCGTTTGTGTTCAGATCACTTTAGTGCTGATATGTATGAGATAAAGGGCAAAAGCCAGAAATTAGTATTGAGACCGGATGCTAATACCAACAATAGTTACACAAAGGTTTGCTCAGGTCATTGGTGCGATTTAAAGTGTTAAAGTGTTATATGTAACAGTGTGCATGAGTTACATTCTTTGCTAAGGGACAAGTCATTATTAATGCCGGGTAGGAGGCTGGAGGAAATTTTTATGAATAGCAAAAATTTTTCATGACCCCTTATTTTTCTAACAAACTATTTTATCCCCCCCCCCCTTATTGAGGCAACATATTTCATAGCCCCCCCCCCCTCCACCCCAATTCTGAATTCAATTACTCTAAGTCAATTTCGTAACCATTTTTCCTGCCCTCATACTCAGTTTACTTGCAGATGTAAAGAATATTGTAAATATTGAAAATAAAGAATATTGTAAATATTGAAAATGATAGCCAAGTAGATAATTCAGACTTTATACCTGAAAAGTTGTTGGTCCTCAAACAAAAAAACCCACAAATCAGACCTACTTTTACTAATTGAATAAAATACATTTGTGTCTGGTGGAAGCATTACTGTATATTGAAGAGATGGCAGAAGAGACTGTCAACAACATGCAGAAACAGAACATGCAAAAGAGGTCCACTGTGTTAAAAGCAGGACAACAACTGTCAACTGAATCTTGCATTTGCAAATGCAGTGCATGACCCTTTAGA